CAGGAAGATTGGGATAAAGGAAGGTTGGATAGGGGAGCAGGGAAGCACATATCTTAGTTAAGGGAGCCACCTTAGTGTTGGCAAGAGACTTGAACCTAGAGTGGCTCCCAGGAGCCCAAGGCGATGTCCCCAGTTAGTCCCTTGGGAAGCTGAGGATAGGGAACCTGAAATGACCCTATCCTATCGCAATACTGACGAATATCTTTCATATCACCATAGAACCTTCATCTGGTGATGGATGGAGATAGAGACAGAGACCCACACTGGATCAGCCTGCTTTCTTATACCTCCCAGGGGTGGCACTGCCCACAGCGGGCTGGGCCCTCCCCGCTCCCACATCAACCATTAATCTGATTGGCACCACAGGCTTGCCAAGAGGCTATCTGAAGACAGTTTTGAAACTGAAGTTCCCTCTTCCAAGATGACTCCAGTTTTTGTCAAACTGACAAAAAGGAAAAAAGAAAAGAAAGAAAAAACAAAAGGAAAATAACCAATGAGAAAGCATACAGCACAACAACAAAATTTACCAGAGAATTCGAGGTGAGAGAGAAGAAATAAGGTGAAACACTCTTCCCTCTCTATCTCTGTCTCTCTTGGTTTTTTGAGACAGTTTCTCTGTGTAGCAATGGAAGTCCTTGGATTCTCTCTGGATGCCCAGGAACTCTGTAGACCAGGCTGGCCTTGAACTCACAGAGATCTGCCTGCCTCTGCCTCCCCCACTGCTCAGATTAAAGGCGTGCCTGGCAAGAGAGAGTAAATCTTTTAAGAAGATATAGTAATCTAAAATACGTGTGTACCAAATCTTGGAGCTACAAAGCAGGTGGAAGCAAAGCCTGACACGTAGGAAAGCAGAGACAGAAAAACCCACAATTCAGTGCAAGTGTTTATAGTCATTTTTGAAAATTGAGAGAAAGGTTAAATTAGCTAAGATACAGATTTGAGGAGCACAAGCAAGCAACAGCATCTGATCAAAATTTGTAAGGTGGTTGCTAGCTGCCATGTGGGTGCTGGAAACCAAACTTGGATCTTCTCAAGAGCAATGAGTATTCTTAACCTCTGAGCCATATCTCAAACTCCAAAATATCAACTGATTAAAGGACTGAAGTAGATACGAGTATGGATAACAATGCTCAGCGAACATTGTCCTTAATAATTACAGACTTAACAGTGTATTATGAGTCAACAGGGCAAGGATGTTAAAACCTCAGATTTGCTCAACAAAGGCAATATGGCAAGGAAAGGAAATAAACACATACATTGGAAAAAGACACAAACTACGCCCCTTTGCAGATCATATGATTGGTTATCTTACAAAAAATCCGGGGAAATCCAGGAACTAAAGCCCATTGTTCCTATAAAAATTCTTATATTGGATTGTCTCACTAGAATCTCACTCTCCTTGTCTCCTATGCGGAGACCCTTCAGTGATGCCTTAGCTGACTCCACAGCCTTTTTCCCTTCTCTGTCTCTGCACATCTTACTGAATGCTTTCTAGACTGTAACTTGTAGATTAGCACACAATCTTATTCGCTTCATGGCATGTGATGGTATCAAATACATACTA